AAATACAAGCTTTCAAATTAAATCTATATATAAGGGTCGAACTGTTGAATGCTCTTATTATTTCATTTGAGCGCCCCCAAAAGACCGACATGCCCCTGCAAAATAAAGATAAGTTTTTTTTTTTCGAAAAAGAGGGGAGGCGAGGGAGGACCGCGCCAGCCATTAACAGCTGGCGCAGGAGAAGCACGCCACCCCTATGGGAGTGGCGTGCAATAAACTCGAGACGGCCTTCACGATCGGCGAAGGCGGTGGCGCCAGATTTGGCGCCACCTTTGTCCGGGTTGGCGAGATCTGATGGATGGCGCCCGTTTGGGCGCCACCAATTTTTTTATTTAATTTTTTATTTAATTTTTTAATATATTTAATATTTATTAGTTTAATAAATATTATTATTAGTTTAATAAATTTAATTAATTCATGTATTTATTTTATTTGAGTATTTTTTTGGTAGTTTAATATTTGTTTCGAAAATTAAGGTTTATGCTAATTAGGTTTATGATATTTAGAGAATGTTTTTTAATTACGTATATTGTTATATTAAATGAGTTAATATCTTGTTAATAATGTATTTAAATTGTTCTATATTTTAATTATGTTAATTATGTAGTATGTTCGTAAGAAATAGTTTATTTCTTGTTAAATGGGTGTTTAGGTAGTATGTTAATGGGTATAGGTGTTAGGGATTAGGATATTTGTTAAAATAATGAGTTTTTGTTAATAATGTTTTTAATTTGTTATTAGTATATATTAATTATCTTTAAAGTATAAGATCATTATATCGGATTATATATTTTGTTTACTCGTAGCAAATTATTTGTGGTTTAACAATGTTAGAGTTAATTTAAGTTATGATATAATTTGTTTTTAATGTGTGCAGGATAGGTTTGATCAGGGGGATGGAATCGATTATAGTCCGGCTTTTGCTACAGACGAGACTTTTGCGACGAATAAGGAAGTTGTTGCATATGCGAAGGGTATTGCGAACATCTACAATATGGAGTTAAGTGTATCCTCGGACAAGGATAATAGTACTATACTCCTTTGTCATAAAGGAGGGCGGTACTAAGGTCAACAGGTGGATGAAAACGTGCGCGCCTGAGCCAATACAAAGACACAGATGACCGGATACTAGTTTCGTGTTACTATATACAAGATATATGATAGGTGGGCGATCCGTGTATATCCAGATCCGTTGGGAATGCACAACCATTCATTGAAAGATCCACCTCGAGTCAGGAGGCCATTGAGTGCAGAAGTAAAAGAGCTTATTAAGGAGTACTCCAAAGCTGGGACTAAGGCATCCACATTTTACGGGCGATATGGACACAATTTCCTGATGAAAAGGTTACCTCCAAACAAGTCTACAACTACAGAAATTTTTTGCGTAAGGCGGAGTTTCCAATTCTAGATGACCTGGCTGCCCCGGACGTAGTGGGAAAGGTGTTAGAGGTCGCAGAACAACACAAATACATCATCTTCACGGAGTGCGATGAAGAGACACGGAGGTTATCCCACGTGTTTTTCGCACATCCGGATTCTTTGTTGCTGTTGCGGACGTATCCTTGGGTTGTTTGTGTAGATTCCACATACAACACAAACAAATATAAACTGCCTCTTGTGGAGTTTGTTGGAATGACCCCTTGCAATCAGACATTCCTTATAGCATATGCTATTCTGAGTGATGAGACGGGAGACAGCTACCATTGGGCGCTGTGGCAGCTCCGTAACTTGTATGGCGATGATCTGCATCCGAGTGTCATCGTGACTGATCGGGAGCCTAGACTGATGAGGCCTCTTGATGATGTATTTCCATCATCACATCACTTATTGTGTACGTGGCATGTTTACATGGATGTTGAAAGAAATGTGAAAAGAATTTTGAACGAAAATGCCCATGTAGCAAAAAGCTTCGCGTATAATGCCTTCAAAGCAGTGATCAAAGCTGCAAATCGGGAAGTATACGAAGAAAAAGTACAGTTTCTAGAAGCATGGAAAATACTCATATATCCATGCCTAGAGAAGGGTCATACAACCAGCCATCGTGGTACACCCTGCTCGACTAGCAATGCCAAGCTGACGGTAGAGGAATGCTAGTGTACCAGATCCCCAGGAGTACTCTGCAATATTGTCGATACTTCCGTGCAGCTCATTCATAAGCGAAGCACTAATTCTGCCCCCACTCCTGTCAAGGAAGAGTGTCGAGGCTAACAAGATCCACACCCAAGCTTGCACATGAACAGCGGGGAGGACCCTGCGACAACACTCCTCAATCAATATTTCGTTCACATCTCCGTGGCTCCATGCACGCTTTAACTCAGCCAACGGCATCCCAAGCAATCCCACGACCTGTATCTTCAAAATTTCAACTTTCGCAGGTTGAGTCAACAAGTAACCATCAAGTGGAATCGCCAAAATGTGTGTCACATCATGCATCATAATGGTCATCTCCCCAAACGGCAAGTGGAAAGAGTTTGTGTCGGGCTGCCACCTCTCTATGAATGCAGAAATAAGCGCAAGGTCAATGTCATCATACATGGTATCAATCAGATGATACAAACCGGTATTTTGAATCTGCAACTGTGAATTCTCCGGCAACCTCGCATACCATCCATGCAATCTAGACAAACTCTTCTTCGCTGGCTTCATCGTCAGGTAATCTCTTGGTTCTCCATTCCACAACTGATAAGCAGTGTGGCCAAGAAAACTAGGAATCACTGACCCATCACATGGCCCGCCAGGTACGTCGTCCGTCACAACCTAATCATCAGTTTCTTCGGTAGAAACCTTAGACCGTCTGCTAGTACCTGAAACCCGAACAAAGAATAGTGTATAAATACTTAATCGAATGCAATTAAGAAATTGACCAAGCAGTATCGAATGCTGAAATTGTTACAAATACGTACCTGATGACGATGCAGCTGCCTCAGGACGGATAGAGGCACCAATGGATGCGCCACCAAAACGGGAACGAGGCTGAGTAGTCAGAGGGGGACCTCTAAAAACAGTACTCTGCGGGCCTGCATGCTGAAGAGTAGTATTGTGACCTCTAAAAAGAGTACTCTGTGGGCCGACACGAACACTGGAACCACCAGGAATGTATGTTGAATTCAAGGGCGATAATCCAACAAGGGACTTCTCCCCCCCCTCCCCCTGTAGGGTGAACTGGAGTCTGATCAACAGTACGACCAATGGGGTTCAGTACTGAGTTATCTCCAATATGTATATCCCTCCTCTCAGGCGAAGAATACTCAGATGTGTCATCCTCCTCATCCACATCGTCCCCGCCCGCTCTCCAAACTATCCTCTACTGATTCCTCTCCCTCAAAATCATCATCATCGTCTACGTTGGCTGACTCACCAAGTGGGCCAAACGTAGGATGTACATTTTTCACTTTCTTTAACTTTTTTTCTTTTTCTGCTCGATGTTCGGCATACAGATTGCGCATAACTGCATGCCGATGTCCAAATCCCTCAAGAGGCGATATCCCATCCTACAAAAGTTTCAAATTTTACACGTAACATAGATTAATTAGTTTAATACAGTTTATATTATTTAAATACGTAATTATAAAATTATCTACTATACATCTTAAGTGTACAATTTATTAAATCTACTAAGTACAATTAATAATATCTACATATTTATTTTTTCATTGTTTAACCAAAATTAAATAAATATATAATTTATTATTTAATTTTAACCACAATTAAATAAATATTTTTTATTAACCCTAATTATCTACTAACCTCTTGTATTTTTTTTATTTTGAACTTATTTATTTAATTATCCTATAATAAGTATTTAATTTCTACGTTTGATGTTTTTTGAGGCTAATTACAATTAAACTGACTAATCCAATAAATATATTTTATATATTTATATTAATTATAATAACTTTCATAATGATCCAAATTAATTTAAAAACTGTTAAACTCCCTAAAACTACAATTGAATTCCTAAAACTACAAAAGTATTATAACTAATTTATTTACTGAATATTAAACATATACTTTTAATAATAGTGTTTCCTAAATAAATTAAACTAATAAAAATAACTAATAAATTTAACTAATAATAAATAATTAAACTAAATTTCATAAGACCTACAATTACTAATAATAACAATTAAATTACAATTATTATACAATTTATAAATAAAAATTAAATTTAAATATATAATATAACAAATTAACAAAAAAAAAAAAATGGCGCCGGTAAATCTCGCCAAGCGTTAGCCGCCTGGCGAGACTTTTCTCGCCACCCCAGCGTCCGGCGGCGAAGAAAATGGCGCCACCTTCACCCCGGCCGGCGAGGGAGAACTGCGCTGGGGCGTGCAGAGCTGGCGCGCAGATCCGCGCCAGCTCTGTAAGGAGTGGCGCGCGGTTCTCCCTCGCCGGGCGGGGTGGTGGTGGTTTTTTTTTTTTTTGTAAATATTCTTACATAATTCTAATTCAAAAAAATAATCTAAATTTACGTAGCTTCAGTTTCCGTAGTTCTTTACGTAGCCGTTTCATTCGATCAGCCATTGAATCTAAGTTTTTAGGAGTTTAGATTGAGAGAATTTGAAATGAAAGATTGATTTACGAATTGAAAGAATGAAATTGAAACTCTTAATTTATAAAATCATGTAAGGACAAAATAGTCATTTGGTATTTAATTAGGACGCTTAAGGGAAATTTTTAGGGCGTTTAGCAACCTCCTAAAAAGCAATTTGAGAACAAACCTTTCCACAACCCAATCCGAATTGGAGCTGCACTGCAGTTTCTTTATTCTCTTCTCTGCGAAATTCTACTTCTCATAAATTTCAGTTGTCTTTTTGAATCCACAAACCTCATTTTCTTTCGATTCTTCTGTGTTCGGATTTTATTTTTCTCCCTGATATCTTTGTTTTTTCTTCTTGTTATTGTTGTTTTTTTGGGGCGCGTTTCTTACAGGTACGAGAAAATAAGGAGAAAGAAGGAAAAAAAAAAAAAAATTCTTCGGAGCCCAGATTGGTGATATGGGTTCTTCATCAAAAAGGAAACATTCAAAGACGAAAAGTTCTAAACTTTCTTCCAAGGTATGTTTCTCAGTCTATTCAACTGCCCAGAATGATGAGTAACCCTCCGAGGGATTTTCTTTATCTGTAATTGATGAATGCTTTCATGGTTATTTTGGATTTTATCCCCTTTTTTTGGTCCTGAAATCGATGGAGATTTGCCAGATTAGTGCGGTGTCCTTAACTGAGGTTATTCAGATAAAAAACTGGAACTTGAAGCCATTGATTTTGTTTTCTTTTGCTGTAAAATTTGTTGATCGTAAGTGGCTATTTGTTGGGATTTGGCTCTAGTTGCGGATATGAATTACCTAAGCACCCAGTTGTCTTTCTAAGTGTATTTGTTTGCCATTGTTTCTTGGTAGCCCAATGCCTCATTTACAATTGGTTACCATTATATTATTTCTTGGTCTTTTTGGGGGTGAATGTGTTTAAATTCCTTTTTGACTTATTTGTTTTCCAATCTTGTTGGATTTAGTGAACGAAAAGGTTGAAAGTTTAAGCTTGTAAATGTTTGTTCACTGTATATGGTGTGGCTTGCTCCACGTCCATTGATCGTTTATTACAAGTGATGAACTTTCTTTGTACTATCTTGCAAACAAATTGTTTTACTTGCACTTTATTTTGTGTGAGTGATATCAACATTTGTATGTCGCTGAAAATACGACTATCTTTTGGTGATTAGGCTCGGAAATTGAAGAAGAGCAAAAGGACTAAAGCCAAGAAGAAACTAGGTCGCCGTCATGATTCGAGTACTGACAATTCCATGAGTTCATATTCCAGTGATTCATATTCTTCAAATTCTGATGATGACTCCATAAGTTCTAAATCTCTTTCCTCATCCAGTTCAAAGGATACCCACAGGAGAAAAAGCATATCACGATCAAGAAGTACGAAGAAGAGGAAAAAGCAACTTCGAAGAATATCTTCTAGCAGAGAAGATAGTCGGGACTTATCACGTTCAAGGAAAAGAAAGAGGTCAAAGAAGAATAGTGTTTCGAAGTCTAGTAAGAATTCAAAGAGAAAGAAACTTAGGAGGGATGTAGAAATTAGTTCTGCAAGCAGTCATTCACCCAGCTGCTCTACTTGTAATGGCAGTATTGGTGGTGAGAGCAGTGAAGGTGAGGGTGTTAGAAGAAGGTCTAGGAAGAACAAAGATGGCAGGAGAGATAAACCTCATAGAAAAATCCAATCTACATTGAGCCCTCATAGATCCTCGACTCATTCTCCTTATAGTGAGTATCGAGATGAAAACTATCCTATTAGTCAAGGTGAAGAAACTTGTATAAGTGAGAAGAATTCCAGGCGTTTGAAATCTGTGATAGTATTTGCAGAGAAGCCAGAGCCATCTATTACAGATCAGAATGAATCAGAGAAAGATATGCAAAAAGAAGAGCTCGTCTATGACCATGATGATTATCCTTCTAAAAGCAGCAGCGGTGAGGGTGGCAAAAAGGAGGTATCAACCCCTTATCCACTTAATATGTTTGATGGTGGTCGAAGTGTAGAAAATGTTGGATTAAATTCTGACAATGACGTGATTGAACAAAGTATAGGTTATGCTCGTGAGCATGAACAAGACGATGTTCGTAATCCTTCCTCAAATGACTTTATGACAAACAGTTATGAAAAGAAAAGGACAAGTAATATTCTCCTCCCTGATTCTGGTTCCAGTGGTAATGATCTGGAAGCAGTTTTGAAGCAAAAAGCGCTGGAAAATCTGAAGAAGTTCCGAGGAGCACGTAAAACTAATGTAAAGCCTACTGCTCACAAAACTGATCAGGTTAATGGTGATCGCCATGGTTCATCCAGTTCCCAAGCTGAGATTGTTCAGAGTAAGTTTCCTATTGGTAGTTGTACAGAGGTTGAGAAAGATGCTTCTGGCGGAGGATTAGCTAGAAAAGTGTCTGAAATTATTGAACGGAACTCTGATGATACACCCGGGCAGGCTAACTTTGGAAAACCTAATGAGAAGAGCCGTCCAATGAGACAGCCTGTTTTTGGTAAATCTGCATTGGAGAACTCATCATTTGGGAAGACATCTTCAGTCATTGACTCCACACAGAATCCAACCAGGTCATCAATGGTTTCTATGAATAAAAGTCACATGGAAACTGAGACAAGTTTGAGGAATCCTGAGTCCAAAATAGCTCACCTGAAGTCTCCTAGCATTAGCACAAGCCAAGATATAACCTCTACCTCTTCTTTGGTGGGATCAGCAGCTGTAGAACAGCCAAGCTCAAATAATCAGCAAGATGAGGGCAAGGATGGGTCACAGTATCAGCAGAAGACAATGTCAGTGATGAGGAACGGCGAAATGGTACAGGTAGGGTTCCTTTTTGTTATTTTCAATGGCAAAATTACCAGTCATATATGAGTCTTGGTGACTTCTTGAGGAAACTTACCAATCACTTTTCTGGTCAATCATATGTACAGGTAAACTATAAGGTCTACATTCCTCAGAGAGCTCCTGGTCTTGCTAGGAGACACTTTAAGCGGTGACTTTGGTGACTCTGAGATTGACGCCTGGGTCCTGCATTTTTTGAATCCTGAAGTCATCATTGCATTTTACTAACTTAGAAGTCATTTTTACTCATTTTGGACTTATGTCACTCCAATAAAACTGGTTATTCTTGAACAGAATCGGAGTACTTTCCAATTGTACCACGTGTATGTTTTGCAAACTAATGTTGTTGTGACATTGTTAAATTTGTCACAAGTTATATTTCTTTACATCAATAAAGTTGGATTCTAATTGCATTCGTTTTTACAAGGGTATGATTAGTGACCCGTCGTTCTAATATGAATTATTCACAACTGGCATCTTCTGGAGTCTGAGAAGTTCTGTCAGTACTCATTGAACAAAAGTTTGTGGAATTTCTCAGTTGTTCCCGTTTGGAATAACAGTTTCAATGCTATTTACCATTGAGTCTAACTAGAATTTCTATGAATACAACCTCAAATTCACCCATCTTCTAGGCCACAGAGAACTTGAATGAGCAGTGTCAGTCAGGGTTTTCTATTTAGTGCTTCCTGGAGATGGCTAACTCCATCAACTCCTCGAGGGTTTTATTTTCTTCTTAAAACCTGTAATACAAGCCCAATCATCCATCTTTGACACATTGATATCCTCCAGGAATGGAGAGTACCGTTCAATGATTCGAGGTATCTGCACCACGAATTTGAAATAATCAGCGAACACAGCTCAACTATAGCATATCAGAACTCAAGTAATCTGGAAACTTGAAAGGTTAAGAATAAAAAAAAATTATGGACAAGGAAGAAGTGACATATGCTGCTGACTTCCATGCAATTTTCAAATGCTGAAGCTAATACTAGATTACATCACGATGCAATGAATTTCAAGAATTTCTAGATCGGTGGAACATGTTCAAATATTCAAAATTTGCCAAAGTTCCAGCATTCCACCAGCTACTATAGCATGATCATACCTGCTCAGATATGATACCAGATAGACCAACTGTGGCTCCAGGCTTTGCAAAAGAGACAATATGGTCAGCCAAATCGAGCAAAGGATTTAACAATATATTAGCTACGACAACATCAAACTTCTCCGTCTCCCTGAAGATGTTTCGATCATGCATATCCCAACTATCTGATTCCTTATCCGAAATACCATCAGTGAAGGTAAAACCCAGTTTACTGGGAACTAGACTTAATGAAAGTTTTTCAGGTGGTATGCTGTTCAGAGCAGCATTACATCTAGCAGCTGTGATTGCTTGCGGATCTATATCCACACCAGTTGAAGAAGCTGCACCAAACTGCAGTTATTAACACAAAAACAAGTCAACGATGAGTAACAGAATTTTTCAAATACAAATGAAGTATCTGCTACACATCAATTGACAACTAGTGTAAATAAATTATGCATACTATCAGCACTCGTATCTTTTTCGACTGAAGAACAAGAATTATGGTAAGTTCAAATTTCTGGTCCTATCTTCAGGAGCATACAATCTTGATTAGCAATAAAGTGGATCATGTACCTTCACGGCTGCAATAGCAAGTATACCAGAACCTGTGCCGTAGTCCAAGAAATATTCTCCTCCTTTGATAATATTATGCAGGAGTAATAGACACAACTTAGTTGTAGGATGCTCACCAGTTCCAAATGCCAATCCAGGGTTAAGAATAATGTTAGTTGCTTGAGGATCCTACAATGCAAGTATATTATTTCACTGTTAGTTTGTCCACAAGTGTTTTAACTATTTGATTTCACATTCATTTCCAGATTCGACCAGAATATTAAGGTGAAAATTAGTTCATAGTTCAAAATTTAAGTTATTCAGGTTCTTGGACTTCATGGCATAAGAAGTAAAAACCAAGACTGAAATCGTCTTTCTAAAGAAACAAGAACCACTCCAAATCGCCTGAGCAAGGAAAAACAAACTCAAATCTTCAGGTTAGCATTCAGACTTAGAATATAGAAGAGCTAGTTTCGTATAGATAGAGGGAACCCTTTGAGGAAAAAACAAAAAAAAGAAAAACAAAAAAAACAGACAGATATACTCATACTGGAGGCTTTCTCCACTCAGGAACAATCCAAATCCCTTCTGCAACTTCCACAGGATGGAAGGATTCCTACAAAAAAGATGGTAACTATAACCTGTTATTATTGTGGAGTAAATGTTGACCAGTACCTGGCAGAATAAACTGCTACTATGATCAGCAAATAAACCAACCCAATGAATTGTATATATAGGGCCATTGACTGGAACAAGATAAGCTCAAAATGTGCTCATTCTCTAGATAATTTAGCAAACCTAGATGCAAATATGATATTGGATGCCACCGCCTTCAACAAGAGAAAGGAAGCATCTACCTGACTTTCCTTTATCCAATCAGTGTGGTCGTGCATCACGACGTCATAACTTGGGATCTCTTTTAAGCCAATAGAGTCGGCTGCAAGTGATATGCTCTCTTTGACATCCTGGGATACAGCAAATATGGCACTGATGCAAATCTGCAGATTTTAGATCAAACCTGTCAGCTGCCAGCAAAGCAATAATATCACAAGCAAAAGTAAAGAAAAAACAGAATTGCTGACACCCGGGTCACAAGGTTTTTAAACATAACAATCTCATGGAACTCATCAAGTAAATAGAAAGTGGTACAATAAAATGAATTGACAGCATGGCCAGACGAGGGTAAATAACGAACCTCTCAGAGAACATAATCAATATAAATTCTCAATTTAGTCCGTCGTATCCAAGACTCAGAGTCCATTTTAAATCTCTTATCGTTATACAGACAAGTTTATGAAAGATATAGAACAAGAAAAGCTTGGACATTAATATCATGCTATAAGAAGATTGAGAAATAGGGCTCTTTACATCTTCATCTTTACTGGTGTCATGTTCATCAGTGCTGGTAGAGCTAGCTCCAAAGCATAAGAGAGCTTCGGAAAGCATATCCTGCCCAAAGAAACAAAAACAATATGTTGTCAACAACGTCAAAAATCCAAAATTCCCATCTCAACTAGAAAATACAACATCTTGGGTCTGTATGGTTAGCATCTTGTTTTTCATTTTTTCCTCGTTTCTCAAATAGCAAACACTCCCTAGTCCCTCCTCCCAAAATAGAAATACAGTTTGTGTTGAACTAGTTTGGTGCACTTTTAAAAATCTTCAGTATACCTCTTTACACTTGTGATCGTAATACTGTCTCATTCAGATCATTCTTGTCCCATCGATGTTAAACTTGAAAATCCATCAGTAAACAACGCAGGATAATACAATCAAAATTCCAACTATTGCGTAATTGCAGGATCATGAACAAACCAATTGTAGTAAGAAATTAAGGGTACAGGTTGAATCTTAGACCGGTGTTTACTCAAGAAATGGCAGATTAAGACACTAAAAGCCGGCGGGAAGAAGGAGATATTTCTTCTTTGCAAAAATTTTTTTTAAAAAAAACGTACAAATACATTGAGAAAATGAAGGATAGAGCTTACTGCGACACATTGTTTGCACAGAATTTGCGCGGAAAGGTAAGGAGAAGAATACGAGTCGTTAGCTGCCAGAGTCTCGGAGGAAGAAGAAGATGACGGTATTAATGTTGAAAAAGCTACAGTGTTTGAAGTCTGGTTCAAGAGCTGCCGCCTTCCTGCAGAGAGAAAAGAGAAGCGAGCTGGTCCGGCGCGGCGGAAGACGCGGTGGCTGGAAGAAATGGAAGTGCAAAGAAGGTGCTTGATGAAATGACTGCACAGAGTATTGGTAACGAATGACATTTGTGTTATAAACGGTTTGGAAAAATAACTGTCACTTTTAGGCGCCACTTTTCTTGAAGAATAAGGAGAAGGGAGGAAAAAAAAAAAAAGAGATATTAATTCAATTTTAATGAGTTTTACTTTTTAGTCATGTTTTGATTAAAAAAAAAAAAAAAAAACCCCTCTTTCTTCTTTCCCAGATAAAAGCCGCCAAAAAGAAATCAGCAAAATTCCAAAGAGCTTAAAAGAAATGGTGTTCTCCTCTAACCCGTTGGCGTTAAGCGTACCCGACCCGGCATTTGAGTCATGGCTCCGAGAAAAAGGCTACCTTGAAATTCTCGACCAGCGAAGCTCAGACCTCCACCGTATATCCACGGCCGCCGCCGGGGACGGCGCCGCTGCCACCTCCGTTTCGGCCTCCTCCGGCGGATCCGACAATTCGAACGCTGCTACCCATATCCCCACCTTCCTCCCATACGGTGCCTTTGTTTCTTGTTTCTCATATTTAAAAATACTGATTTCTCTCCTCACTCTCAACCCTTTCGCCAAGCTGACCAACGACGACTTCGCCGGCAACACCCCTTCTTGGACTAAAGCTTTTATCGGTTCCTTTGGGTCCTACTCGTTTCCCACCTCGCTGGACCAGGCCCGACTTCGGACCCATGAGAATGTCAAACGCTTTGCTCGTAACTACGCTTCCCTCTTCATCCTCTTCTTGGCATGCTCTCTGTAAGCTATAATTCTCCCTGCTATCATGTTTTTTCACTTTCGTATGTATTGATTCTTTAATGTTTTGAACCTTTGTCGTGGGCTCTTTCCTTATCGCTTCTTGTTTTTGGGATGTGTGTTGTAGTGATCGTTTTCACTGGGAGACAAAAAAGTTATTGTCTTTGCTGTTTACTTAGTTGGAGAAAGATTTCTAATGTTTTTAAATTTCGTAGTCATATTGAAGCAATGCTGTTCCGTCGGGGTTGCCTTGCTGTTTGACATGAAATTATATAAGAACAAGGCGATAAGTATGGTTTAACCAACTGATATAAGATTTTAGGATTTAGATTACATGCGAGTTACAGTTGGATAATTGTGTGATTGTGGGAGGTAGTAGTTTATATTTTCTGTAGTTTAACTTCATTTTGTTCACATCATTATGATATACTCAATTTCTTCTCGTTTTTGTTTGCCCCCACCCCCCGGTTTGATGTTTCTTCTGTGTATTTAATTTGGTCTCTTATGATTTTATCATCATTAATTTGGTCTAGGTATCAGATGCCAATTGCCCTTGTCGGATTGTTGTTGTCCTTGGCCCTCTGGGATGGTTTCAAATATTGTGGTGATCACTGGAAGTTAGATCAGCGGCCTGTTCTTAGGCAGACCTTGGTACGAGTTGCACAATGTGGTAAGCTTTTGATGCATGCAATTTACAGTTTTCCACTTCTGGTTTCAGCATGTATGGTTTGGAACGGCAAATTGTTTCTTTGCATTAGAGGAAAGAGAACATTTTCTTTTGATACTGACTTAACAGCTTTATAAGATGTTCTCAATAGTCTTTTATGAAAGCATGTGCTCTTCTCCAGACAGTGAGCCCAGATTCTGGAATATCAAGTGCTTGCTAGTTTTTCATGAAGTTTTTAGGAAAAGAACGGAGTAATTTTCAAATTGAACAGGCTTCATGCAGTTCATAGATGCTTCAAGTGCTATCAGCTGATTTACGAACACTTCTCTTAAGTTGTTTTGAGCTTCCATCAGTTTTCTCAGTGTCTGAACCTGCGCCTTAACATGACACTTGTTCTGCTCTCGCTATTGTCAAATTGTCACTCATTTCTCCAATCTTCACAAGTTGCCAGAATGTAGTGCACATGCGTATTCTGAAACGAAGGGAAGTTCGTAACATTTGTTGATAACTATAGTTGATGGATTGGACTGTGCGGTGTATTCTTGATGATTCACTTGAATTGGGCTTTAGTTCTTTGATAATGTTCTAACCATGTCCTGTTTCAAAACTTTGTCCAACTGAGTCTGAGGGTATATGAACTCAATTTGATTTAACTTTTTCATTTTATGTCGTTAGTTATTTGGTAGTAAATGCATGCTTGGTGCACTTGTTATTCCGTCACTTTATTAATGAGTTTTACCATCATGGCAGCAACGGCAGTTATTCTGTTTTTCTCCAATGTTCAAGTAGCCCTCTTGTATGCTCTTGGTGTAAGTTATGCAGGTAATGCAATTTCACTAAAAGCTTCCTCACATCGTCCTTAAACTTTATTGTGTAATTGTATTCGATCTGATCTCCCAATTGCATATATTTTCAGTCTTGGTTTTGCACGCCTCATTCAGGAAGCTTACCCCAGCAAAACAACCTTCTCAGAGTGAAAGGAGTAGAAGGATTCCTAAAAAATGACGAGAAAAGATGAGAGTTATTAGTTCAGTCTTTGATTGTTTGTATAGCAAGCTGGGTGCAAAAGAACTATCCAATCCCAATGGGAAATAGTTGCTGCTGTGCTGAAAGTTAGTTGGACTATGTAAAGGATGGCTACAACTGATGGTTGATTTAGATATTTTTCCTCACAAGTTAGTCTTCCCCTTTCTAATGTCATTTCTTCGAAGATATAGAACATTTCTAATGTAATTCCCAAACTGTTATACCAATGATCATAACCTGCTTCAACATTATCCTCAACAATGAACAATCTGACGAAGCGAATGCGATTTGTGTCAATTTCAAAATGAATGTCATGTTGTAATCACTTTGGGACAGGGAGTATGTCAAAATGGTCTCAAAATTAAAATAAAGATGATATGGTTGTTTCCCCAATAAATATGGATGTTCTAGAACAATCAAACCAACTTAAGTACTTAAACAAGGAAAGTCTACAATCCATCTGAAGCTGTTTTCTTTTTTAATGGTGTCTTTAAACACCCAAAATTTGGTAGTTATACAAAACAAATAATAATCATGATTACAGTCAGTCACTAATTGTGTATTGCTCTCCAACTTTGCACAGCAAATAAAAAAAAAAAAACTAAATGAAAAGGAACCTCTGGAACAAAGAAAATGGGTATTGGACAACATAAATAAATTCTGTAAATAATATTGTATGTTGTATGTACATCAAATTACATTAAAATCAATTCCCCAACCCGTCATGTTCAACTACTCAAATCCTTGGAGACATGGCCTTGCCATCTGCAAAAGATAAGTGTAAATCATTAGCCCATCTGAAACAAGGTAAATCCTAGTACACCTGATGTAGGGGATGCTCTGCCGTTTTCACATTCAACGGTTACATAGGAAAAGCTTTCAGGACAAACCTTGAGAGTAAGAACCGTGCCAAAGGGCTCAAATTGGCATTTGTCTCTTTACTTTGCTGCTTTTTCTTACTATCAACTTCTGCGATCGTAGCCTCAGCTTCTTCCTTTCCTTTGGTAAATATGCGAGCTGCCAGCTCTTGCAAGTCCTTCAACGAAGGTTCTTTTGAACTGCAAAAGAAACTTTATTTTGAAAACCGAAAAACATGTTGTGAAGACAAAGTTTCAACAAAGAAGGAAAAACATAATACACAAACCTTGCAAGTCTCTGTAGCAACCTTGTTACGATAAGTTCACAGGATCCAGACTTGGAACGCTCCATATCCATAAAAGAATTGGCCAATGTTCGCATGATAGACCTTTCAGATTCGTCAGAAACAGCCTACAAAAAATATTACATCAACTTAAACACAAGGTTACATCAAGGCTTACCAAAATTTTTCTTCTAACACAAGCAACACTTTCAGTGAAAAGGCGCACCTCTTTCAAAGAAGGGATCAAAAGAATTGACAAAGCGGGAGAAGAAGATGCAGCTGAACTTCTTGCAGCATCTTCGTCATCACTTGTCTGACGTGACCTATGATTTCAGGGCATCAAAAGTGGCACAATGTCATTTAAAGGTATAAAGTAGGAACAAATCAGTTGCATCAACCAAGTGGTAGGCATGGCCGGAGCAAACAAAACAGAAATACCTTGAGAAATCAGAACCAGACACCAATGGATCTCTTCTTTTAATCTCTTGTTCATCTCTACCGAACTTGCCCAAAGCAGATCTTTCTCTCATATTTCCCTTCTTTAATCCGGCTTGAATAGCAGCTTTGGCCTACATAAAATAACAGACCATTAATCTCTGAAATACCAGTGACAAAGACAAAATTGAAGAGGACTTTCAGCATATAAAATAACAGGAGCAAAATAATTCCAGAGACATCAATGAACAGATTCAGAAGGAAGCCGCAAACAACTAGCAAGAACCCAATGCACTAGGAATTGCAAAAGTACATATATATGATGAAGTTCTCCATTCATAATCTCAAGTCTTAGTAATAATCAAAATCCTTTTCAAAAAAATGACTCAACGAATGAAATTTTCAGCATGGCCAGTTCCAAGTAAAAAGGAGAATGGTTGTTCGAGGTAGATAAGCAGCTTGCAAGATCTTGGACATCTGACACGGATTATGTTATATGAAAATTGTGTAGAATCATGATAGCCAGATATGATCTATACAACTGACCTCTGCAAGATTTAGTGAACTGTCTTCTATGGGTGCACTTGAAGTTCTTTCTTGGATTCCAAGTCTAGATTTCCGAGGAGATTCTAAATCATCATGGTGCCCACGATAAACGACAGTGCCACTAGTAGATGAATCCTCCAAAGAAGTATATGTGCTGCTAGACTACATTCAGATGAAACCTCAAGAATTTAGCATCAGTAACAGAAGAAAATGACAGTTAGTATGTCAGTCAAACAGTGCGGTACCAATGAATTCTGGTCACTAAATAATGAAGATGAAGGTCGTCTTGGAGAACGTATGACGACAGTTCCCGACATATCTTCCTGAAATGGTAAACATGGAAATCAACATTCAGTTACCAATACAAATGATGTTGATGTGCAGCACCATGGTAAAAATGGCACTATCATCAATGTGATTCGACCAGCATAAAAAGAATGTCAACACCAAAAATGCAAATCTACATGAATCTGGAATTTCTATATTCACTAGTTACCAAGGCACAGTTTTGTTTGGACTAATTCCAACCAACTTCAAATCACAAGATCATGTAGTCTACTTGCAAGGGAAGGATATGTAATGCAACTTTCTGAACTTAGGTCTTCTCAAAGATTTCATTTTCAATATGTGATTTACCATCCAAGTTAAGTAAAACGTCTAGCAGCTACAGACAAGAAGAAAGCAAATGAACCATGATACTACACAGAAAGAAGCTACACATGAGATGCATACAAGCACATGAGAATAAGAAATGAAAGTGAGGGGGAGGTACTACATCTTCTTGATGGTTGTCTTGCTTATTGTCCTGGTTAGCTTCTCTAGGATCTTTCCCAGAAACAGGGGACCTTAGGTTACCACTGTCCAGAACTTTTCTTGAGGTAGGTTGAGTTGAAAGAGCCTCTGGTCTCCTATCTCTAACCTGAGGTGGTCTCACAGAACTTCTCACAGTCCCAGTTCCAGATGTTCCACCAATACTGAAGTCCCATCCAGCATTTTTCACAGTTTTTCCTTGAGTACTGTAATTCCATGAAAGGTTGTAAATATTAACATACACAAACCTCTGCGACCCTAAAATAAAGCAAAAGGATCAACCGACCTAACTCGCACAGTATCTTCTGCGGCAGAATCTCTGTTCACCTTTACTGTGCCAGATGCCTCCCCGAGAGGTTTTACTCCATTACTTGGGCTTTCACCATCTTCCTTTATTTGGAACTTCGGACGCTCTCTGCCAAAGAGTGAGAGAGAGAGTAAACAAAGACATGCATTAAAATCACTCTCAAGATGTAGTCAACAATTTTAACGTATCCAGAGTCACGCGGAGTAAACCTTCGCTCCATTCCCCTTTCCCACCTTTGAAAACAACCACCTAGCCCGAAAGTAAAGATGAGTGAGAGTGTAACATCAACTTAAGGGGTTTCTAGCTATTCACATGCAATCATTAATTACTGAATGGCTCATCTAGACTTTTCAAAAAACCTTAATCAATGTAACAGTCGACACATGCTGATTGAACATAGAAATGTCAATAAAATTTGCAATTTTTTCTTAAGTTTTCAGCTGTTTGGGCTTGTTCAGGCATGTGGACACATTTCCAAGTGAAGTAGAAACAGGTCCAACAGCTAGACAAACCACTTCCCACAAGAACTGTTCTTTGAGATCATGCCTAACGTTAAAGATATAAACAATGATAGTGAGGAAATGGTAATACATGCAGGATACAGAACAGTCTATCTAAATTAAAGGAGAACGGAAGCAATGGGATGTTGCTTTTAAAGTGTAGGCAATTGAATCAGTAATATGGTAGAGCTAATGGAAGCAACATGAGAACAACTGTGGCATAGGGCACAAAAAAGAACGCTGCATTCCTTTTCAGAGATGACACAGCTTTTAGTTAAAATTAAGGGGGCACATTCACTAGCAGTATCACCTGATCCTCTCCAAAAGCCTCGGACTCTTCCTAGCATTCCTAATAAAACGATGCTTCAAGAGTTCCTTTGCACTAGGCCTCTGTACATTTCAAGTACAATATATTGTCAGCCACAAAAATGTTCAGAAATTTCATGGGTTAAACCGTGAGTTGCTATATAGAACTGAGAATTATAAGATTAAATGCATGTCAAAATGAGAAAGAAATATAAGCGGAAACGAAGTGAGAAGCTTGAACTTACTTCAGCAGGATTCTTCTTCAAACACAATGACACAAATTCTTTCATAGGACGGGAAAAGTGTTCATCTAGCTGCATGATTGAAAACAATCTGTCAACCTCTAGCATAAATACAGAAACCCATGTTCAATCTGCTCATCAAAGAAAAAATGTTTGAGTTACACGAAATCAGTAATATTCAAAGAGAATTGGAAATAGACCTGTGGAGGATTTTCTCGAGGAATGATGAATAGAACCCTCATTGGATGCAGATCGGCAAGTGGAGGTTCTCCTTTAGCCATCTCAATTGCAGTTATCCCTAGAGACCAAATATCTGCCTGCATCAAACATATATTCCAGACATGTGCTCAGTAGCAGCAATCTTTAAAGCAAACAATGGAAAAGGAATAAGATAAAATGGACATAATTATAATACGAAAAACAGAAGATTGGTAACAGACTTGCCTTTTCATTATATCCCTCTGAATTTTGAATAACTTCTGGTGCCATCCAGAATGGAGTTCCTACAAATGTCTGAGACATTCAATTCCATAAGTACAAAAAATCTCATAACCAAAGGCAAACAAATTTTATAAGATGAAAATAAACAAAAAACACCCAAAAAAGGTTTACAAAGTAGACCTCAACCATAAAGCTAGTTAACTAGTTTGAAAGCCACACCCAAAGAGCAGTCTCAGTCATAAGATTGCCATCTACATGAGATGGACATGGCTACTACTAAATAATATTTGCCAGGATGAAGAAACGCAATCCCCAATCTGTGATCCAAACAATGACCACTCACATAGGAATCATAGGAATGTTTTTCGTTTATTAACCACTCACAGCATGCCACATATCATAACAATGAGAATCTTTTTTTGTAAGGGTTTTTTACTAGGCCCAAAACATGTCCAAACTGTTTGCAACAGATCCTCATATCTCAGGTTCAGTAAAGCATAGGCAGAAAAAAACCACAATTATACCTTTCTCCTTGAAATCGTTCTTGTTAGTTGTGCAGAAACACCAAAATCGGCAACCTGAATTCAAACAACCGTATGAGGGATCTGACTCTGTGCTCAATCAGCCAAACATATGCTTTCCAAGAACACCAGTTTTCTAAAAGCATATGCGTACTCACCTTTACATCACCATTTTCTGTCAGTAAAATATTTGCAGCTGCAAGAACAGACACTTGTGTGATTAATCAGAAGAGAAGCAAAGAAATCAGACATCAGATTATTCTCATTCAACAAGATACCCAGCAGAGTTAAAAGAAAGAAGGCCAGATATCCAGATGACCAAAACTGTAAACCCAAAATCTAAATTACATTCTCAAGATTGACCAATCCAATTCAAAGGCAAGCAAGCCATAAGTTCTCTATGCAAACTTTCAAAGTCAGAAAAGGGGGTGGGGGAAAAGCCACCAAGCTGATACAAACGTCGTCACAAAAACCTTTAATGTCTCGATGAATTTTCCCTTCAGTGTGTAGATACTCAACTGCATGGAGTAAGTCACGGAAAATGCAAGCTATAGACATTTCATCCAGAGGCTGATTTGGTTGAATCTGCAAAAGTAATATCAAGAAGCAAAAAAAATGTCATTTGATAACCAAAGCCACAAGTTATTCAGCGTGCTTATTGACACATGCATCATACCTAATCCTAGAAGATAAACCACGACCAACTGATTACTCATGTGAAAGTCCAATGATAGTTTTACGCTAAAGAAAAGAAGACAAGTATTCTTCCACGAATTGCTAATCTTAAACTATTACTTCAAGATACTGTATGAATATCAGCCCACCAAAAACAAAATAATAACAATAAGACAAAAAATACTAATAATAACCTAGGGGTTAATTATGACCATCTCTTTTTCCACTGTTCTATTGGGTAGATGCAACAGATAGAACAAACAACACAAGAAAGGAACAAAGCTGTCATATCTAATTCGCCCCAAATGGAGTATGAAAAACTCACAGCTTTTAACAAAATTCAATCACAAAACCAGACAAACTAGCCAAGTAAAAACAAGAATTGACCACTGAGAAACTCACCAAATCAGCAACAGAACCACCAGCCATGTATTCCATTATTATCCACAGCTTAGTTTGGTGCAGATAGGATCCGTAGTATTCTGTAATATATGGAGACCGACATTGTGACAAAACTGCAATTTCCTGAAAGATAAGAAAGAATCAACAAAAGGTATATTGCATTATCTAGAGATACGAACCACCAGTCCATGTGAAAGAGAGGATCATACCTTCTGAATGTCCTCAATTTCATCCTCTCTGCCACAGATAGATCAAATAAAACTTCAAAAGCTCAATAAACTCAAGCACAAGTTATAAAGTCCAACCGATCACCAATGTAAGTCAGTTAGCAAATCAAAAAACTATAACACTTACGATTCTTCAAGATCAATAACTTTAATGGCAACTTCCTTATTAAGGTCTTTATCGAACCTGCATTTTAACACAAAAGGTACTCCAGCTAAATTTGAGGACATAACTACGAAAAAGATGATAAAATCGAAAAGTCAAAACACTTCTACAGTACCAACAGAGGAGTAATACATCAGAAATTTGAATGATGGATTCCACCTTACATACAAATGAGAAGTTATGGTAGCCTTCTTTTCCAGCTAAAGAGAGTTTTCAATATACTGAAAGTTGCTACAAGCACATAGTTTTCTCCTAACTCAGCAAAATTTCGAAACAAGTTGGTTTCATAAAATTATTGACCTTTTTAACGCCCAAATTGTGTAACTGGCCCAGGAATTCTATTACAGCAAAGCTCAAATGAGACGATGCTGATAGGTTTGTACAGGGAGAAGCACCAAAAAATATCCTTCAAAACTGGAAATAATCCAGTTCAACTATAACAATACCAAAGAGAAATATCAGCTCGTGGAGCATTTATTACTCTCTCCTAACAACAGAAGGATGTTTACCTCAGCAAGCTCCCATTGGGTGTCTCATTTCAATTATAGACCAACATAGTACACTCCGAATGGATACTTCATAAAAGTTCGTGAAAACTCTTTACACTCATTAATTCGGGTAAAATAATCTTATCTAGTTAATAAACCACTCTCCTAAAAGAAACATCTTAAAGTTCGCAAATGATTCTAAAAAGCATCCCACAACACTCTAAGATGCACCTGTTTGCATTCAGAATAGAACCATACAAAATCACAATAATATTTCCTAATGGACAAGGAATATATCCAAACACACAATCAGGGTAAGGAAGTACATTGTGATCCATCAAAAAGCATCCCTTTTCCTCATATCCATTGGAGACTTTTGGTAGCTAAAAGGAAATGGAATTTCGATGTAAAAAGGTTGATAAGCTCCAAACTTATCATGACATCAATAATATTTCCAAATGGACAAGGAATATATCCAAACACACAACCAGGGTAAGAAAGTACATTGTAATCCATCAAAAAGTATCCCTGTTCCCCATACCCATTGGGAACTTTTTGATAGCTAAAAGGAAATGGAATTTCAATGTCAAAAGGTTGATAAGCTCCAAACTTATCATGCCATCTTACGCGGTTGCTAACAGATGTTTCAGAAGTAGCACAAGTAATAGTTATGATTTACTGTATTTAAAAGACTAAAACGACTTCGTAGAGATATAAGTAGAGGCCAGAACTATAAAGGGAAGACAAACAATACAAGGGAACGGTATGGAGTGGGCTCAAAAGCTGTTGAAGCGAGTAACTGTCAAAAAGTCACGCACCTGGGCAGAGAATGCCAATATTCCATCGCCAACCCAAACATAAAATAATAAATATTGCTTCAAACGACATTTCAACTGTTCGGAAACACGTGACAAGAATGACAACTCTCCTTCATCATCTTCTTCATTTTTAAAATTAAGCAGACTTCTTTAGGAACCTCGGTGCTCAAAAGCAGTGTATGTATTCCCAGAGGCTACTATCATTTTCTACACGTAAAAATCTTTATGGCTCACCAAAAACCTCAACCTTTCTTGTAATGTACTTCATATTAATCAGTAAGCTTCTAAAACAGAGACCTCATCAAAACATACCAAGCTACAATCGCAAAGTCCACATCCAAAGGCATGCAGTCATTTAAGTTCCTCATGAGAACAGCTAATTGCATTATGACATATCCCTTTCAACGTTCAACTTTTCCTCTTTCATAATTTACGCAGAAAACTAACTACGATCACCATAAAATGCCTAATCAGTTTGACAGGAACCCAATTCATGCAGCCAGCCATAGATATAAACTTAAACGTGCAAATGTTACATTCCTGAATAGCTAAGAACAACACATCCTAAAGGAAATAAGAATGGCACATATTAAAAAATTATACAAATGAAAGATACTGTTCACATTGAGGCTCACCCTTTATAGACATCGCCAAATGAACCCCTTCCAATGAGCTCCAAATCACTGAATCTGCCGGCAGAGGCCTCAATTAGAGCAGCAGCATCAGCCATCTCCAAACAAAGTTCTTCTTTTCCCCTCACAATCTTAATAAGAAAAACAAATGAAACAATCTCCTCATCATTTTAGACTCTTCCGTAATCTTTTAATCTTCTCATCCAACTCCACATTGACAATTTTTGACGAACTCGCCAAAAGGGTTCTCCTTACTTCACTCCAGCTCCAAAGTGATCTGAAACACACGAAGAAACACTAAAAAATTATCATCAACATCCCAATCACTCACCAAGAATTCTAGTACAAGTTCAAACAAAATGACAATGTAGGCTGAAATGAACGCGGAAAAGAAATCGTTAGGTGAAGTGGGGATCATTGAAGTGACAACCTAACAAAATTTAGAAATTTTTCCCATATGCCCACTGATTCCAAACTATGTGAGACAACGAAATAATAGCAGAAAACGGACAACAGCAACCATCTCCTTCGTGTCAATGCAAAGAGTAACTAAACATTAAAAACAGAAACTTCCACGAAAACCCAAAACAAGCAATAATCCTGAACAATTCAAGAAACCCCGAAAAGGGCCAATCAAGAGTGCGCATTTACAACAGTAAAGAAAGAGGAATTACCCAGAAATATCAAGTCAAGAAGCCGCAGATCTCTGTTTCTTTTTTCCCCTTTCTCTTCCCTGAGTCTCTGAACGTTATATGTGGGAATAGATATGAATGTGAACACTTTCTCCCCTCTGAATCGTATGTTTCCTTGGGTTGTGATACTGAGGAGGAGAGCTAGGATCGACGCGATTGCTACTAACTATCCTTCTTTGTGGTGTGCTCTTGTTTCTGTCTCTTGTTTTCTTTTCTTTCTTTCTCTCCTCTGTAAAAACCATCTACTTACAAATCACAATATTTTCATTAAATAATCCCAATAATCCAGACAAAATGAAACTGATTTTTTTCCCCTTGTTAAAAAAGAAACAGTTATAACTGAAAAAATTCACAATATGGAATAATGGTCTAGTCACTAAATTTTGTTATGGTGGTGAATACATATAAAAAATATATATTTAATCTAAATTGTTATTACAAAAAATGTAACCTGAATTTCAAAAGGAAAAAATAAAACAATCCTTTTAAAAAGTTGCACTACATTTCATTAAAGTTAAAGAGTTAGGATTTTGTATTCTTTTTAAAGTTGCACTACAAGTTATAACTGGACATTTAAAAACTACTACATGCAATATGTTATGTAATCTTTTTTTATTACTCCCTCCGTCCCATAATTATTATCCAGTTTGAATTTTTATTTCTAGTTCAAATTGTATTAAAAGTAAAATCTCAAATTGGACAATAATTTTGGGACAGAGAAAGTATAATGTAAGCTTTCAAGTTATTTGTAATTTTGTATGTCACTCTTCAAGCAATATTATTTGAATAAATTTGATTTGATGATGTTCTCCAAACTGTACCTGTTGGATTGGTCGAAGTATGTGCGACATATGACGAGTTAAATTTTGGGACAGAGCATTTGATTCACCATCTTGGGATTAAGACTATTAAGTTGTGACTTTCACATTCACAAAACGTAATCAGTAGTAAGATTTTAAGGATTTTTATTATTAGCTTTTCTAATCTATTTGGGTCATTCAGGGGAGAATAAATTATTGGGCCTTTAACTCTCTGTATTTCCCAAAATAGTTGCCCCGAATTTATGGTTATATTGACGAGATGGGTTGTTAGGACTTAGAACTTTGAAGCATGATCTAAGCAAGTGGGCTCCTAGACTTATAATTGTTCTGCCGCTTGAGGGGCAATTTACCGTTAGAACCCAGAAGCCCAAAAGTGGAGGCCATTTCAAGAACTACAGTTCTTTTCTTTTTTTCTTGATTTTTTTTTTGGGGGCTGTTGTCCGAGGAAGTATACATTTCAAGGTTTAGCAATTTTCTGATATAGCGAAGTATACATTTGAGTGTTTAGCAGTTTTCTGATATGGAGAATAATTTTGTAGCAATAATACAATAGAAAATCTAATAAAATCCGGTGGGCGCTAAAGGTTGTCTAACACAACACTATTAAAGCCCCACTAAGATGGGCTGAGATTGAAACTACTTAGTCAACACAAATAGTTTTTAGTTGGTACAAGGAACATAAAAGAAAAGAGCTTTGAAGTCTCTGAACAAATCATCATTATTTGAGATAATAATAATAATATCTCATAAAATATCATACGGCTAAATCCCCCTATTTTAGGTCTTGATATTTGTATCGTGAAACAAAATCAAATAAACAGTTATTTTCACTTGTCCCAAAATCATTGTCTGAGTTTGGATTTCTATTTCACTTTTAATACACTTTGAATTAAAAACGAAAATCCCAACCGAACAATAATTTCAGTACGGGAAAATATACAACAATGAGAACAAATATTTTAAATGGCATACTATTACATTGTAACCTTCTTTTTTAAGATAAATAAACTGATTCCCGATAGATGAAATACAATGCAAGTAATTTATTCGGATTAATTAAAGGTGGGTTTAAGGGCGGATCAATTGAGACAAAAGTGGTGGTGAAATTTAAGGGAATCTCTCTAAGGGGGCTGAGCTGTGTGGGTGCAAGTTTTTTTAAATGAAATGCTGCCTCCATTTTCTATAGTTTAATTGGTAAAAATTCAAGCCTAAAATATAGAGAGTTTTGCAGTAGACATTTATTTCAGGGAAAAGTTTCAGACTGGGCAGAAACAAAACTAGAGGTGGTTTTTCTTGATCCTGTCACACAGGAGTACATTCAAACTGTCTTTTGATTAAACTAATTTGTTCGAAGATGAAAACGCCACAGCAATCCAGCTGCATCCGTTCGTATCCAGTACTCCAAAAACCTAACCAGATTCTCACTGGATCTATCAGAAAGTCAGAAACCCAATCAACTTACTAAAGAAAAAAAAACACACACACACACACACTTCTGACTTCACACACTGATTCTCTCTCTTTTTTTAGTTCTCTTTTTTACTTATATTACTTCATCCATCTCAAAATGATTGTTATTCAAGATTTTCAAAATCCCAATTCGGATCTTACGATCCTGTGATCTAAAATCAGAAAATTGATCTTGGATCTTATAAAATCTTTCTTTGTAGTGAGATCTTATGGAATCCTTCAAAATTCCAATCCGGGTCATAGGATCCTATGATCCAGCGATCCCATTAATTTTGTCAATACTTGTACAAATTGTTGATTTCGTATAAAAAGACGGAAAATAATTAGAAAAAATGTAAAATTGATGCTTTGAGTTGATGCTACTTATGCGGGCACTAATCTACTTCTTCTCCATAAAATCAAACAAGAATTGAAATAAAAAATTAAAACTTGTAATTTTAGAAATATTATAATATTTTAAATGGTTACGATCCTGCCGATCCGATCTCATCGATCCAGAATCCGATCCGATCCAGAGACGCCAAAACGATTCCGTGTGAAATTCTGATTTTGAAAACATTGTTGTTATGTTTAAATTTTTAGTTTTAGTACAATTACTATTAAAAAATAAAAACATAAATTGTAGATTTTTTTTTGATACAGTGAGAGTACAATTTATACTAGAAATAAAAATAAAAATTAGATAATCATTTTAGGACGAAAAAAGTATTACTTGTGTTTGTGTCGAGAGACGACGGTGTTAAAAGTGTTTGTAGGAAATTTTTGACTATATAATAATATTGTAAAGTTTTTAACAGTGGTGATTAAATCGAACCTCCTCCTAGGAAAACAAACTCACTAATTGCTATAATTTATCTCACTTCAACCTTTGTTTTTCCGAAAATAATTACTAGTAGCTGATAATCTCAAGAAACAAGGGGTGAAATAGATTCATCCAAGTACTTTCCTCATGTCCGCCATGGCCTCGTTTCCTATCTTTTCTCCTTTTCCACTCTCTTTTTCTGCAGGTTTTATTCCTTTGTCCTACCGCCATTAGCATAATTAGCGATAATTTTTTAAAGGTTTTAAAAAAATTGTGACTGTTGCTCATGTCTCCATAACTTTTAACATCATTTTTTCAGAATGGAAAATCTAACAATACAAAGATACCATATTAGAAACTTTCATGGGAGTGATTTTTTGCCCGGACTTATAGTCTGTATTTTTCCTTTTTTGCTACTCTATTTGTCCCACTTTTTTTTTTTTTTTTTTTTGGGTTGAAAAATAAGATTTGTCCCACTTTATTATTCACACTTTGTTTTGTTTTCAGTAAAAGTAATTTTTTATTTTACCTGCGTTGAGGTTAATAACATTTGGGAGGGGTAAAAAATGCTGGGCCCTATTAAAGATACGGTCGTAGGTGTTTGGGCGAGGCCTGAGCCGGTCAAAACGGAGAGATTTTAGATTGACGTACTATAATTTTCCTTTCTTACACACAAATCCCCTCCATTTCTGTATTAGTCATTAACCCACGCGCTGATCCCAGTTTCAGTCTCAACTGCACCGATTAGATAGCCAATCGACGGCTGTTAAGGTGCCACGCTGTTTAACTGCAAGATCCGTGTATCATACGCGCATGATGGTCTGGAGATTGCTCGAGTTGGGATTCAGTGCTCCGCAATTCGTGCGCTCCTAATTCTTTATGCCAAACGAGGCACCGACTCACTGCCATGTCACGTGCGCACGTGACCCTCCTTAGTCTCTTTACTTTTGTTATTAATAATCTCGTAATTTTTTGTTGGAATCTCTCAAAAAAGGAAGTTAAAAAGGTTTTTTCTAAACAAATGAAGAAAATAAATTTGTGCAAATAAAAGAGTTTGAAATTATAATTATCCTAGTGTTCCCAGCTTTTTTGACCCCCAGTCCCCAATGGGTAGTAAATAATGATTGTTTCATACAAATTTGTCTAACACAGGGTTTAAATATTTAAGGTTATAGTCTAGTTTAGATATTTAACCATCATTTCTTATAAATTTTATTTGTCATTTTTTTCTTGTACGTATCACTACTCATAAGTAAATTAGAATAATTCTACAAATATAACTGATCTAAAACAAATGAATATTGGTGGTAGAT